TTTAAATGCTTTACTTTTCTTTGCTGAAAACAACCATCTTCTGCTTCTAGATGAGGTTGATGAGAGTAATGAGCCAAAAAGAAGCTAGAGCAGCTGTAGAGCCAAAGAAAACTGTTCTTTGTGGGTTTGTCACTATTCACAGTCATTTCTCACAGTTATAAAACATATTGGAAAAAGCAGTTTTAAAAGTCTTAAAATATAGTGAAGTTGCTAGGTTAGCTGCTAAAGTCTTGACAGTAGCTTTGCTGTCTAAAGACATCTATCAATATCACTTTCTTTGTACATTTGCATATCTTGTCAGTCTGTCAATGTTACGGTTCATGTGGTGTATGGTGTGGACCCCAGTAGCAGACACAGGCTAGAGGAGGGGGAACTAAAGAAAGCAGTTTATTGAATAAACACAGGTTATGCTGGACGGCAGGAAGACGAGCAGACTCCGGGCAGGCAGGGAGTGCAGGGGGCAACCAAGGACAGGCAAGACAAGGAACCAGAGGGACGAGGAACCAGGAGGACAAGCAGGAGAGCCAGCAGCAGGAGGGACACAGGAACCAGAAGCAAACCCAGAAAATAAAAGCACCAAACAGGCAGCACCACCCAAATCATAACAGTCAAGGTGGAGATGTAAATGTGCTAAAGACCTGGGTTTCTGGGAAATGCAGTTTTTAAAAGGCCACTAAAGACAAATGCATTAAATAAACAACTGTAAAACATTACTTTTGAAAAATGTATCATCCCAGTTTAGAGAAATGTTGCAAAGCTGGACTTAAAGTAATTTATTATCCTCCCATTATCCAGAGATGTCTTTACTCTTCTCCCCTCTCTTCCCACCCCCATGACAGCTCCTTGACAGTACTACTATCCCCCCTGTAGCTCCCCAAATCCACCCCCCACCCACCAGCCATCTTCTCCCTGGAGTGGCAGTGGCACTTGACAGTACTCCTAGCCCCCCTGTAGCTCCCCAAATCCACCCCCCACCCACCAGCCATCTTCTCCCTGGAGTGGCAGTGGCAACAGAGCATTACATGATAACAGATGCCTCTTAACATGCACAGCTGGAGTGGAACGATATCCTCGGAAAAAGAGTATAATGTTTCAGAGTGGTTTCCCTAAAGTGAAATGCTTCTTGTGAAAACTAAATGTGTACTACATGTTTCCATGTGTCATTATATTATTAAATATGCACTCATCACATTGTATATGTATAAACAATACTGTTTAAAATATAAAACATGTAACAATGTGTATTTGATGACAGGAAAACCCATAGTGCTAAAGTTCATATAAGCTTAGTGAATTATGTTAATTCAACTAAATATTAGGCTTAATACTAATAAATAAACTAATCAACAAATGTTACCGCTGTTAATAAAGGTTTACCTATTCAGTTTAGTCAAAATGTTTCCAGTAGTTGAGTGTGACACTCTAGGCCCCCCTCAGACAAAACTAAGAGATCGTTGCTGTTCTTTGTCTTGTTCCACAGATTTACAACACAAGGCAAATAACTGTATAGAAATGGATAGGATGGTTTGTACATTAGTAATAAAAAAAAGATAGAGCAACACATTAATTTTAGTGGATTTTGTCACTTTTTTGTACTTTCAGAAGTACAGTTCTGTGGGGGGGGTATAAACAGGAAGTGTAATGTTGCCATGGATTCTGTGAGTTATGCTGTGAATTAAAACCTTAACCAGTACTGTATTTGTTTACATTTTGGCAAGCTTGCATTAGCAGATTATAATTGCAATGTACCTATGGATGGATGAAACTTTGTGTGAACAGGAACCTTGGAATTCAGTCTACAAAGCTTTTGACTTTAACACCAAGGACTGTGGTGCGCAGTCAGAGTTGGTTTCTCTAACCATCCTCACAGTCTTTCATAAAATGACTGCAGATCAGAAAAAGCTCATCTGAATTGTTTCTGTATTGTCATATACTGTAAGTCATTTTGAATGACACTGAAAAACTGCTTATTTCATTGTTCAGGTATGGGGACTTATTGGATATTTCTACCACATCTGTAATGGAGTTACTGTAATTTCAGACATTAGCAGTGAATTTAAACATTACATACCATAGACACTGGAAAATTAATTAAAGATGTATTTGACTTGTGTTGCACTTTGTGGTGTCTATGTTTTAAATAATGCCAAATGCCAATTTAACGTAGGAAAGATAAATGAGTTCACATACCATGGTCTGACCTTCTAATATTTAGTCATGTACTGATGTATCATGGATAAAGAGCAGCACACAGCTGGCTCAGCTGTGGTTCATCTGAACTGTTAACTTTGACCCTGCATTAAGGAAGCTGTAATCTCATACTGCTTTTTCTGCTGCAGTGCCCATGGTAACAGTTACTATGACTGCAGACAGGCACTGGCCAATGGGTATGGATGCTTCTAGCAGGGAAGGATGCTCTTATTGGTCATTTCATTGTAGTGCTACTGTCTCTGTTAAAGGAGGATTCATATAATAATTTGTCATAGTTTATAAAACATAATGTGTCACTCTCACCGTGTTTGTGTCCATGGTTAGATTTTAAATTATATTATAACTGGGCACAATAACAAAGTGGGATCCAGACAATAGTCACCTGTATAGACCTACTCTAAAGCGACAATTTCTAAGTATGCTGGCGGTCCAAAACAGACATTTTAAAATAACAGTACCTCGCAATAGTGTATCTCCAGCAAAGTGTTTGATTCTAAAAGACAATCTTTGTTGTCAACATTTAATTATCAAGTTTAGCCTAATTATTTAAAGCTGTACCTCTCTTCCCTCCAATTTATCACTCATATTTATGTGATTGCAGAGCTATTAACCTCATAAACTGTGCTGATGTTGGCCTAGTATTCTACTGAATTGAACCATTTGAACCAGCACCACAGTGAACTGACTTAATCTTGGCAGGCATTATGCATTTGGTAATACTCTTGTACATCATGTTAACTCAGGCTATATGTTTAACCAGAACCTGCAAGTTTTATTGACACATACTGTAGTAGATTAAGGAATTCTTACATTGGAAAAGACAAAAAGAAAAACATGGTGTGGCAGATTTCTGGAAAATGCAGACAGTGTTTTGTCTTATGCAGCAGTAGTAGTAGCAGTTCAGTTTTATAATCACAGCAGTCACAAGACTACAGTTTTAGCCACAATGGATTAATGGAAAATTGATTTTTCCATAGCAGCAGCTGTGTGTGTTAGCCACAGCCAACCAAAATTTCTAAACTTTCAGATATCCAACAGCTCATCGGGTTATTTTTATGTATGTGAGACCGGTTTGACAATTTAATGAATATACAAGCAAGCACTGATGCATCTGGCAGACAGTTACTAGTTATGGTAATCACCAGTAGAGCCAAACACCTGCTTTAGAGAACCTAGACTGAATTGAAGATACTCAGAAGCCCTGCCTCAACACCATGCCCAATGGTGATGTGATCACTCGTTTAAAGTGTTTGATTGGCAATGTGATAGCTTGTTAAGAAAATTTACAATATAGTATTTTTGTACATTTCTACTTGTAGTACATGGATAAGATTTTTTTTGGTTGTTACTCGTTTTATCTATAGACACTGTTATCATTTGTACTGCTGTTAAACTACAGGTCAAAGTTTTTAAGATCTGTAAACCTGCTATGAGAAACATACCCCATCTCATTAATGACCACTTATTTTTCTGTCACAATTGGTTTAAATGTTGATATATTTGAAAAACATGACAGTTTTAAAGATGCACATATGGGTGCACAGTAACACTCATAATCCTGAATATTCCTGCCAACTCACAGTTGTTTTGAAACTGAACTTTTGTGCATCTCTGTATTACTGCCTATGTATACACATACATATACACACACACATGCAGCATATACATGAACTAAACATACTTTTTGTTTAATTTGAATCATTTTAATATAGTAGTTATGGCCATGATTTTTATTCACTATGATAATCTCTTTGTTTGTTAACATCTTCCTCAGATCAGTAAGCAGCAGCTGCAGACAGTCAAAGAGCGTTTCCAGGCATTCCTAAATGGAGAAACTCAGATTGTAGCAGATGAGGCCTTCATTAATGCTGTCCAGAGCTACTATGAGGTAAGTTTGTATTACCTGTTACACCAGTGCACTCACAAAAGTTATATTTTATCTAGTAATTGTCCAACTCAGGTATAAATGAATTTGTTGTAGATTTATTTACAAATCCATTGTTTAATTAATATAAAATGCCATTAACCCTGACCTCTGACTTTCCTATGGTGGTAAAAATAAAAATATACAAAATACTAAATGTTAATTTTATATAATTTTTAATAAATAGAAAGTGTCTGCAACCTTTATGTAAGTTCAGATGTCTAAAGTACCTTTTGCAGGCTGTAAACCTCCCCTTGCAGAGGCTGTTGTTGTTTAAAATGAAATTGTCCAAGCAGGGAAACTAATAATAGGGTGAAAAGTAACCTCCGTGGAGATAACTTGTCTTGGCTTTGATAAATGGTGCAGAATGTGCACTGAGCTCCACAGGGCAGCGTTAATAATCTGCTCCCAAATGGCCAGGATTCAATTGGCTTGAGCCACAAAAGAGCCTGAATCTCCTTGGCATCTCAGTCTGTAATGCACGGTGCATTTACAATTTAATATTTGACATACAGTATGTGGAGTATCTCACAGTCAGTAAGCTTCAGTTCCTGAATTCCAAGAAATGAATCATTTCAAACTAGAGAAATGCATTTCCTGTTGTAAGTGCATGTGGATGCTGTGTGCTGAAGGATCACCCTGAAAATGCTGAACATTTTGACACCTGAAAGGCATATCTACCTGAAAGTATGTTGAAGTAGAATTTTCCCATTCATTTGAAAGGGGCAAAATTTTCAGAATAAAGCTAAATATTTTAAAAGTGTGATGTTTTGAAAAATTCTGAATTGAGGCATGAATGTCCTTGAGGAGCTCAACATTTTGATACCCGAAATAGCTGAAGGTATGCCGAAGTAGAATTTCCCCATTCATTTGTATGGGGCAAAATTTTCAAAATAAAGCTAAATATTTCAAAAGTATGAAGTTCACAAAAGTTTTGAATACAAGCATGAATGTCCTTGAAGAGCTGAACATTTTGATAGCTGAAATTATGCTGAAGTAGAATTTCCCCATTCATTTGAATGGGGCAAAAGTTTCAAAATAAAGCTAAAAATTTCTAAAATATGAAGTTTAGAAACTTCTGAACAGAAGCATGAATGTCCTTGAAGAGCTGAACATTTTGATAGCTGAAATTATGCTTTTATTTTTAATAAATAGGAAGTGTCTGCAACCTTTATGTAAGTTCAGATGTCTAAAGTACCTTTTGCAGGCTGTAAACCTCCCCTTGCAGAGGCTGTTGTTGTTTAAAATGAAATTGTCCAAGCAGGGAAACTAATAATAGGGTGAAAAGTAACCTCCGTGGAGATAACTTGTCTTGGCTTTGATAAATGGTGCAGAATGTGCACTGAGCTCCACAGGGCAGCGTTAATAATCTGCTCCCAAATGGCCAGGATTCAATTGGCTTGAGCCACAAAAGAGCCTGAATCTCCTTGGCATCTCAGTCTGTAATGCACGGTGCATTTACAATTTAATATTTGACATACAGTATGTGGAGTATCTCACAGTCAGTAAGCTTCAGTTCCTGAATTCCAAGAAATGAATCATTTCAAACTAGAGAAATGCATTTCCTGTTGTAAGTGCATGTGGATGCTGTGTGCTGAAGGATCACCCTGAAAATGCTGAACATTTTGACACCTGAAAGGCATATCTACCTGAAAGTATGTTGAAGTAGAATTTTCCCATTCATTTGAAAGGGGCAAAATTTTCAGAATAAAGCTAAATATTTTAAAAGTGTGATGTTTTGAAAAATTCTGAATTGAGGCATGAATGTCCTTGAGGAGCTCAACATTTTGATACCCGAAATAGCTGAAGGTATGCCGAAGTAGAATTTCCCCATTCATTTGTATGGGGCAAAATTTTCAAAATAAAGCTAAATATTTCAAAAGTATGAAGTTCACAAAAGTTTTGAATACAAGCATGAATGTCCTTGAAGAGCTGAACATTTTGATAGCTGAAATTATGCTGAAGTAGAATTTCCCCATTCATTTGAATGGGGCAAAAGTTTCAAAATAAAGCTAAAAATTTCTAAAATATGAAGTTTAGAAACTTCTGAACAGAAGCATGAATGTCCTTGAAGAGCTGAACATTTTGATAGCTGAAATTATGCTTTTATTTTTAATAAATAGGAAGTGTCTGCAACCTTTATGTAAGTTCAGATGTCTAAAGTACCTTTTGCAGGCTGTAAACCTCCCCTTGCAGAGGCTGTTGTTGTTTAAAATGAAATTGTCCAAGCAGGGAAACTAATAATAGGGTGAAAAGTAACCTCCGTGGAGATAACTTGTCTTGGCTTTGATAAATGGTGCAGAATGTGCACTGAGCTCCACAGGGCAGCGTTAATAATCTGCTCCCAAATGGCCAGGATTCAATTGGCTTGAGCCACAAAAGAGCCTGAATCTCCTTGGCATCTCAGTCTGTAATGCACGGTGCATTTACAATTTAATATTTGACATACAGTATGTGGAGTATCTCACAGTCAGTAAGCTTCAGTTCCTGAATTCCAAGAAATGAATCATTTCAAACTAGAGAAATGCATTTCCTGTTGTAAGTGCATGTGGATGCTGTGTGCTGAAGGATCACCCTGAAAATGCTGAACATTTTGACACCTGAAAGGCATATCTACCTGAAAGTATGTTGAAGTAGAATTTTCCCATTCATTTGAAAGGGGCAAAATTTTCAGAATAAAGCTAAATATTTTAAAAGTGTGATGTTTTGAAAAATTCTGAATTGAGGCATGAATGTCCTTGAGGAGCTCAACATTTTGATACCCGAAATAGCTGAAGGTATGCCGAAGTAGAATTTCCCCATTCATTTGTATGGGGCAAAATTTTCAAAATAAAGCTAAATATTTCAAAAGTATGAAGTTCACAAAAGTTTTGAATACAAGCATGAATGTCCTTGAAGAGCTGAACATTTTGATAGCTGAAATTATGCTGAAGTAGAATTTCCCCATTCATTTGAATGGGGCAAAAGTTTCAAAATAAAGCTAAAAATTTCTATAGCCCAAAATGATTAATATTATATAGGTTGTTGGGTCCAGAGATCTTGAGCTTTTCTGCTGCCTGCGCGCAGGCAGAGGGGTGAGAGAGATCTGGACGTGTAATGTGAATTTTACCTGTGATCCTCTGAATAAACCAGCACGGTTATTTTTTATAAAATCTAAAGCAGTCTCTTTCGTCTCATTGAGAGTTCCTGGTTTGAAAGAACCGGAAGAAGCTACAGAGAATAATAGCTTATAATTTTGATCACTGAAAGTATCCTGAAGTAGAATTTTCCCATTCATTTGAATAGGGCAAGTTTGTCAAAATAAAGCTAAATATTTCAAAAGTATGAAGTTTAGAAATGACTGTCCTTGAAGAGCTGAACATTTTGATACCTGAATGGCTTTGCTAGATGAAAGTATGCTGAACTTATTAAAGATGTGAAAATAGTCCAATAGTACCCCACAGACTAGGTAAAACGTGTGGGGCGGGGGGACAGACAGAGAGAGGAGTTATGTTGAGGCATGTCCCAATTACACTGCATTTTATCAACCACCAGATGGCACTCCAAGACTGTGTCATTGACTCAGCACCTTGAGCTCCAAGTGACTTGTATTGCAAAAAATTAAAGCTAAATAGATTAAAAAGTATAAATGTTATAAAAAAGTTGAGTACAAGCAGGGATGTCCTTGAAGAGTTGAACAGATTGAGACCTCAATGGCCTGTATAGCTGAAAGTATGTTGGACTTAAGTGCCAAAAAAAGGTGGAAGATCCCAGAATAATAATAATAATGCAGGATACGGTTCTTATTACCATTGCTAACTCTGAGAGACGAGACAGTCCAAGTAACTTCAAAACAGTGCTGATTTATTCAAAGGATCACAGGTAAAATTAACATTACATGCTCAAGTATCTTGCACCTCCATACTGCACGCAGGCAGATGTAAGATGAAAAACCCTGAGCCCACCAGGTCTATACATTATATCACCTTGGTTGGGCTAGCCCCATACTACACAGAAACGTCAACCGGGATGTCTCTGTTACCAGCATTGCAGCTGGTCCTGACAGTAGTCAAAACATGAAGCAAATCAATGTGTGTGTGTGTATCTAAAAACATTCTAACACAACCTCTAGTGACATGTCATGACATTAAACATAAGAAAATATTATGGCTAAGGCTACAGTTATACACATCATAATAATAATATTAAACACCCTGTCTGCTGACAGTCATCAACTCTTCTCTCTAGTATCCTTGACCAGATGTACCCTGTAGAAACTCATAAGCATGCCTAAGCATTTAACAGTCTAACTATACATCCTATCTCCACTAAACATTTCTAATACATAAAGTATCTATCCAATATCTATTTGACTAAAAATACCTAACAATAATAATGAATAAAGAACAGGAGAACATAGTGTGGATGCTTTACAGGATCCACACAATGAAAAATCAAGACCATAGTGTCGTTACTGCATTTCTATGGACAGCAAAATTCTGTAGAGACTGAATAAGAACTGAAGCAACAGAGACTGTATACTGTATGATTTTAGTTTGGATACTGCAAAGAAAAGCTTCTCCATTTGAGACAGTAATTTTCAATTTTATGTGTGAACTATATGTGAATGTTGACATAGTGTATTTACCATCACCTAGTTTATAGAAATAGTTTGTTGAACTCATTCCTCCATCATAACTTTTGTCATTCTGCTCAGCTTTTTTTTTTTTACAATCCAACACCTCAACATATTATTTCACATGTATTAATCACTTTATATATGTAAACTCCCAGGCTTATTGATGCCTTCACTTTCAGCACCAGAAAAAAAAAACACCTCCACTGCTCACTGTGTTATATGAGTACACATACAGCACATTCTGGACAACATTCAGCTTTTATTGAAGCTGTATTTATGCAACCCTGTCTACTAAAAATAATGACTACTCTGGATAATCAACACCTCTCTAAAACAATTTTAACAA